ACCCTAATAGCTACGTCTGTGCATGAACGAAAAAGCAAACATGTTCTGAAGGGTATATAACCAAATAAACTGAACGAACGAGCATAAATTGCACCAAAGGGGGAAAGTGTGATATGAATAATGACCTTTGACCTCCTCCACACCAACACCGCCAATTGTCCCTGAAATGATTGATAGAAATGATCTGCCTGAGTAATCCTGAGTAATGATCTGGTAAATCCACTAACATTATAGCTTTCACCCCCCCCCCTTTATTTTTATTGTCACTAATACATAGCTGCCAACTGTTCAGAATTTTTCGGATTTGTTCCTAATTTTTAAATAAAATCTGATATTTAAAAAAAAATCTGAATTTTCATGAAATTGCAGTATTTTTACTTTTAAACCAATCCCTTGTTCTGATCGCCTCAGGCGCGGTTCCTCATATTATTTCGCTGAAGTAACTTTTAGTAGCTCTTTATTGGGAAATATTATTCCAATAGCTGTTGCTGAACATTTCACTAAATTGAATCCTAAGCAACTATTATTACTTTTTAAGAAATGTATTGAAGTATTTAAACACTTGCATCAGAAATATTTGTTTATGATGTAGATCATTCTTTACACGTGTTTTATAATATGGAGAATAATAATTATATATTAATGGGTAATGGTTGTTTTTAAACTATCATACCGGTATTCCTAATTATAAAATAATATTAATAATATAAATTTCTCACAAAAGATGGACTTTATAGTTTTGTTTTACTAATTTAATGATATTCCTATTAATGTTACTATTTAATAGTTAAAGTTTTGTCTTACTTTCGTAATTGGTGCATATAATTTTGTCGCATGTAATGTTCCTAATTTTTGATTCCTAAGGTTGGCAGCTATGCTAATATTTATAGTTTAAAAAAAAAGTTAAAGTGAAAGTTGAAGCGAATCTCTATTTTTCTTTTTGCTGAAGAAAATGCTCTGGACTTCTGGAATATGCTATTCCAAATTCCTCTGACAATGAAGTCTGCTTATTTTTCTTAAGATTCCTGTTTAGCAAAAGATTTTTCTTTTTTTTTTTAATTTTTGCATTTGTGGGAAATATAATCTGTGTTTTCTGTTTGAACTTACTCTTTTTAAAAAAAATATTTCAGCTATTTTAATTTAAAGAAAGTCTATGTTGAGTAAAATCAAAACATGTATGAGAATTGGCGTATTTAATTTAACTATTTAAAATAAAAAGATTTCAAATAATATTCAAAATGAAAAAAAATCTTCATTATTACTATTAATATCACTTTGAATTATAAATCGGAAGGAAGATAATTGTGCAAAATTTAATTTTCATCAAACGTATTCCTTTAATTGACTAAACATTTGCGATGCTTAAAAAACATTTTTCTTTTGTTGATTTTACTTCCAAGTTTCCCCCCTTTTTAATTTAATGAGAAAGTTGTATATTGAAGAGAAGTTTTTATCCAAACTTGCTTTAAAATGATCAGCCAGTTAATAAATACTGCAAATTATTTTATTATTAAAAAATGTGGTTATATTTTCGTTTAATTTTTGGAGTTTTTTTTTTTTTTTTATGTTTGCATGCATTTATTCAAGTTTTTAATCACTTACTTGATTTCTCTTTTCGTTTTATTTCGTTCGTTTTCTTTCTTTTTGCAACGTGTTTTTGTTCTTTCCTTTTTAATTATATAATTATTTTGTATTATTTTATTTTGTTTGGTTCTTTTGAGTTCTTCAATGTTAGAAACTAGATGGCATTGTAACAGACATTTCCCTCACATCCTTTATAACAGAAGGCGACAACTTGCAAAGACACCTGGAGGAGAGACCACCATGAAACTGCTGATGACCACAGCTGAACGAGAACTGCCCACACACCCAACAGATCCAGCAGAGATCAGGCGCATGAACTACCAGACTCCGGCTATGATAAACCATCCTCCTATACCAGTCACAGAGCTTGCCAATCATTTAAAGATGTTGAAAGCCAGTGACAATATGAAGTTCTCTCAGGAATATGAGGTTTGTAAGACATATGCACCAATTTTGTGAAATATTTGTTAACTAAACAGATATTATTTATAATTAAAATCCTAAATTATCATATGGTACACAATTTCCATTTATTTTTGTATTCATTGATGAATTTATGATTTTTGCCAGCTTTCTCTACTGTGAAAAAAAATGAATCTCATGTATGCTTTTTATATATTGTTCAAATATTTTTTTTTGTCAGGCATAAGACTCTCTCAAATCTGGGATCGTTAAGTTAATTTTATTTATTCCAATATTTATCTTAGTTTTATTTAATATATCTAAACATTTTGAAGGCAGTCGAAAATGAAAATTCAAAATGTATAAAAACTAATTAAATGAAAATTTTACTCTATAGATTGATAAAGATTTAAGGTCAGGTGATGTAAATTAAATTTTTTGATATAGCTTAGTAGGAAGTCACTGTATTTTATGTAAAGTTGTGTTTTTTCCTCCTTTGGCAAAATGGGAGCTTGATGGCGTGTGCACTTTTCAACTGTGTTCAAGAGTAATAATAAACAGTGTGCATGCGTTGCAATGGTGACTACTGCTGTTTGATAATTTTCCTTTTTTCATTTTGTTATGCATTAAGTTGGTGAGTTTATTTTTGCGATATACCAGAGAGATCCCATAAATAATTCTTGAGTCGTGCACATAAGAGAATTTCATCATTTGAACGATATATTTTTTATCTTTATTTAAGAATCAGAAATTCTAACCTACAGTTCAAACTAGATCGTTTTCAATACTAATTCAGGTGAATATCACAAATAAAGAGGGTCCCAAAGGTAAGAGTTGAAGTATTCATATTTTAAAAAAAATTAGACACCAACCATTTTGCCATCCCCTTTCAGCGATCACAATTTTGTTTTCTATTCAATTTCAGTTTTATAGTAGTTTTGCTGAATCTTTTAGATTGTCCTATAACAGTATAATTTTATTTAATTAAAAGCTTAAGTTAGCAACATCCCATTTTTCTAGACAAGTTTGAACATTTTGCAAATGTTTTATATATTTCCTAACTTTGTTGATAAGGTTATGAAGCTTTGTGATTCTTGACTGCTCTGAGGATCAACATGAAAATATGTACGTAGTGAATGATCTCCAAGTTAATTCCAAGATCATGGGTACTATTCTATAAATAGAATAGAATAGAAGGCCATTAACCTGCCATTGATGACGACGATGTCACTTTAATAACGATGAAATTAACAAGAGAAATAAAATTTTCTTTTGCAATTAAAATTTGGCAATGTTTGGTTGGCCCCCGAAAATTCGAGGGAAGTTTCGGTTCCATTTCAGAGAGTGGAAAATGAAACCTGAAATTGAGAATATCTTGCAAAATGAAGCAGAGTTAGTTGCACATGAGAGTGCAAGAATCCTTCCCAGTAGCTGGGTTGCCGCAAAATTGTGACTTGGTGATAGCCAGGGGGAAATATCCCTTTTGGCGTAGATAGGCACAATTTAAGCCTACTACTTCAATTTGGAGCATGTAGGCGCAAGTTTCCACAATTGGCGCAGCACTTGCATCACAGACCTAAATTATGACTTTCCATGATTTTTTTTTTTTTAAAAAAAATAGCATAAATCATGACAAATTTGTTCAATACCGAAATTCATGATTTTTCATGACTTTCCAGGTGAGCGGATACCCTGTTTGTATTTTGTTTGTTTCGAATAATCCCATACAGCAGAGATTAGTATTAATTACGTGAAAATAACGTTATAATGCCACAAGGCAAAGAGCAAAAAAACGTTTCCACCAAACGTTTTATTTACGTTTCAAGTGGTAGTCTCGAATCCGTTAAAAAAAACGTTAAAATTTGGGTTATTTTTAACATAAAAATTACCATTTTTTGCCTTTAATTTGACTATGGTGAATTTTGAAACCAATACTTGAAGTTATTTTAAGGAAATTGGTTTCTTTTTTAACGTATTTGATACGTTATTTTAACCAAGTTTTTAATGTTAATTTTCAGTTTTATAAGATCCATTTTTTTCACAATGAATACTGACGTTTTTTTAACTCTTATTTTTACCATTGTAAATTTCATTACATATTATTAACGTATTATTTGCGTTTTAGTTCTACGAAGCTTAACGTATCTTTAACGCTTATTTAACGTTGCAGATTTATACCATTTTAATACTAACCTGCTACATGGAGATTTATACCATGTAGCAGGTAGTATTAAAATATCAGTAACAATAATTCAATCACCATTATAAATGGTCATTAAAGACATATTTTTCACTTACTGCCACTAATATCAATCATATATATTTTTACTTACTGTTGCTAACATCAGTCATATTTCCATTTGTATCGCATATACATTTTATTTATTTTTGTACCTACAAAAGGAATACCAAAAAATTTATGAATTTTCTCTATGTCACATGGTAATATGCCCATAGTTTTCTCATTACCGCAGACTAGATTCTTCATTTTCATTACATTAGCTCCTCCTTACACTCTACTGAAATTGGAAAATTCACATTATTTTAAACTGAACTAATTCCTTAAAGTGCTGTCAGGATAATTTTTTTAAATTACTTCACATCAAAAAATTTGCAGAATTTAGCATTTGTTATGAAGAAAAACTATGATTTTATAGACTCCTACAGTGTTATAATTTAATGTTTATCATTCATATTAATTAAAAATATTAAACTAAAAGAAAAAAGTATATACTTTATTTGATATAAGTCTTCATTTTACTCAATTTAGTAGTTTACAGCTATGTTGCTACTTCCACCATGTTTTGCTTTGAAGTACCAAGAGAATTTTAATTTTTTTTTTAATAGAAAAAATATCAGATTTACTTTGATTCTAAGTTTAAAAATAAAAGTCATTATCATTAGAATTATGTTACGTTATAGTCTCAAGAACGAGTGCTTTACAACTGGTAAAGCAGTCCATCAACTAATACTTTTCTAAATACTGAAATAATTCTTAAATAAGAATTACTCCATTAACATAAAGAAACAAATTTTTACTTATATATACACAGTTTACATACATATTTTATTTACATATTTTACAATTTTTTAAGTCTACTTTTTGCAGACTTCAACCAAATCTTGATGGCTTCTTCCACCCTGCTGATTGTGTCAGCCTGCTCCTTAGCACTGTAATGCAGAGCAGCACCTGGAAGAAAAATTTATTATCGTAGTTAATGAAAATGCTCAAAACATTTAGATATTATAAAAAAAACTACCCAATTCTATGGACTTTATCGGAATTTATAATTTTAGATTCAATCATTATATCATTTTGAAGAGTTTTTGAACGATTTTTATGATTATTAAGATAACTCGTCCTTCAATAAATTTTTTACATTTACAGTATTAAAAATTTTTCTTGCAACATTTCTATAATGCTTATATCAAGCACTATGTTTAATGCAGTTTTGAGATCCAAATAGTTTCAAAGCTTAATTTTTATTTTTTAACCTGTTTGAAAATCAAGACACAAACATACATGCCAATAAGGACACAAAGATCTCATCCAAAAGGGAAGCTTACTACTCATCCCCATTATTTTATCTTACTAAACAACTAATGACATTTACATTCTTTTTAGGTGTAAAACATGCTAAAAATTTCATACTCATATCCTTAAAAAGACTCATGCATATAGTATATGTAAGAAGAATACTCTTGATATAGCAAAGTTGAAGGGACGGTAAAGTGTTTAAGAGGACAAGTATAGAACGAAATATGTATTCTAACATACTGCCCTAAAAATAATAGTCTGAAAATATAAAGAATAACTACTAACAAATATGTATGTTATTATAATGACTCTAACTCCAACAATGACTAAATACAACAATGATAATTTCATTTCTAAAAGTAATACAAATATAATTAAGCATTAAATAGAAAATTTTTGGTTTACAATAAACTTGCATTGTGATTTCTCCAAAAAAATTATTTATTTCAAAAAGAATTCATTATAACAGGTTTTAGAGACATCAAGAGTGTGAGAGAGAGTATTCATATATTTACATGCATATCTCATAACATGTGTGGATTGGGCAAAATAGTTTTTAAAGTGCTTGAAAACTAAAGCAGCAAATTAAAAAAAAAAAAAAAACTTGAATTTATACAAAATTTACTATTTGGATTTAAAAGCAAATCTATTCAAGTATTTCAATCTCTATATAGCCTTTCAAGAATCATTTATAAGTGATGGGCAAAATCTATAAATTGTTAACCTTTAAAACAAAAGAAAATTATTTGATTTTACACAACTGTTGAATGAATAAGCATGTCTGTTTAAATAATAGAAATCGAAATATATTTAAATAATAATAATTAAATTTAAGGGTCCTACTTACAAACTAAGGCAATTCAAACTAAAATAAATAAATTGACATACAAAATATTTTTAACAAGGAAAAATTTTGTGAAGTAACTCCTTTAACACAAAAATTTTGTAGGAATTTTTTTAGATCAAAAATCTTCCAAGAGCTGCCAGAATTCCTCCCAAACCTTGAATAAAAAATACTGTTTGATGAGGTGAAAGTTTTAGTTTTACTGAATCAAAAAAAATCTGTCTTAACTGTGGCATAAAAGAGTTCAGACTTACCAGCAATATAAACTAAATGGTTAAAATAGTAAATAGTATTGGTCTCTAAATATTAAGAGTACCTTGTTTTTAGAAAAACCAATTAATAGTTTCAATTATTTTTGTTAGATTTTTATTCATTAATATTAGTAGTAGTTGAAATATAGTAGTATATAATCCAAATGTTGTACATGATTGAACATTTAACGGGCTCCAATGGCAAAAAAAAAAAAAACTTTTCCTAGATTCCAACAATTTTTGACAGATTTTCAACATGTCATATAAAAAAACCAACCCGGATCATGGAGGAGCTTTCATAAAATGAGATAGTCCATTAAGATTCAATGAAATGATAGGTATAACGAAAACTGTTATACTCTGGATTTTCTTATTGATAGATTTTAAACTTCAAGAATAGAGTAAAGAAAGAGTGGAAACAACAAAATAGTTGAAAAAAATACAAAAGCAAATAATCTTTTTTTCTGCAGAATTATTTTCTAAAGATACTTTTCTTGTTCATCAGAAAGGAAAGAAATGCACCTGATTTCATACCTGTTCACCACCTGTTCTCATTTCGGAATAAAAAAAAAAATCGCCAATGACTGGCTTACTTCAGCTAAAATTTTAAATTTATAAAATAAAAATAAATAAATAATAATAAAATTTCTGAAATCACAGAAGCTTAAAAGATAATTCGGTCTAGAAATGTTTTTTCCTTCATTTTTTGAAAGAACACCATAATTTTAAAAGAGCATGATAAAAAATTTTATATTTTAATCAAATAAGACTTCGGAACACCATGAAATTTGTACATTCCATTTTAAAAATAAGATTTTCAGCGACCTAAATCCATGACTTTTCATGTTTTTTTTTTTTTTTTTTTTTTTTTTTTTTTTTTTTTTTTTTTTTTNATAGTTAAAATCATGACATTTCTTGACAAATTTTGTTCAATACTGAAATTCATGACTTTCCAGGTGTGCTGATATCCTGTAGATTAATGAACTCTGTTTCAACATTTTTTGTTGTACTTTATGTTATTTCTTTTTATTTTCTGCTGTAACTGTTCATAATCTGCTATCAGAAATAAAAAAAAATAAAAAACATAAAATAGTTGAAAACCAAATGTTTAAATATAAAAATTGAAAAAGAAACATGTAAAAAGGATAATTTGAAAGGTATACTATAATTTATTTTTAATCTTTTGATTTCCAAGGGAAATTTTGGGGATTTTTATAGTCATCAAAATAGAAAATCTGCTGTATTTTCCAGTTATGATTGACATTAAACATATTTAAAATGTTTTGTATTATTTTTACCCATAATTTGTAATATTAATATGCATTTAATTCATCAAAGATAGTTAAAAGATTTTTTTTAATTAATTTAAAAAGAGAGTTATAAATAAAAATAAACTGAATATTTTAGAACTAAAAAAAATTTGAACTGATTTTTATAAATTAGGTTCGCTTCAATATGTATTAGAAATACTTATTTAAATATATTCTAGCAAACAAGCAGTAATCTGTACAAAAATTCTATTTCAATAGGGATATTTTTAGGAATCTTACTTAATTTTTGGGAATTTCCTAAAATGTACAAAAACCAGAATTTCAATTAAACCAGTAGAGTTGGCAGCTATGGCATAGGGTTCTCAAAATGTGCTTTGAAATAACATTTGCAAGTCACATTAAAAATTTAAAAAAAGAAACATTTGAAAATAAATCTTAACAAATTCGGTTTGCTTACCTTCGAATTCTTGCTGGCTCACCCAAGCATACTGGGGCAATTTGGAATTTTCAGCCATAGGAATTAAATTTATAACTTCCCGATGTGGTGGCAGAGGTCGCTGAAATATCCAGCTGAGGATCATCCTCAAACAGCCTACTAGGAGGTCGAGGAGGCGCCCACTCTGACAGAAAGTTGCCTTCCGGCCTCAAATTCTTCAGCCTCCTCTCTCCAGCAGGCTGCTCGTCATCAGATGAAGACTATTCAGCTGAAATACAGTTCCTTTTTTTCTCTCTGCCACCTTCCTCGCTAGGAAGGAAATCCGAAGCTTGCTCCAGCTTTCATGTGACGAGCTTCCGCATAGGATACTGCAAATAAAATGAAATATTCTTTCAATTACAGTAATACCTTCGAAATTAATGAGTGCCATAGTTTTAAGACTTATTATCATCGGAAGCTAAAGATAGGCATATTTAATAACTAGGTTAAATTCATGTAACATTCTAACTACCTTTTTATTCTAAGATAGTACACTCCAGGATCCTAATAAATAAAACCATAAAATGCAAGGCTTTGCATTTTATGAAATTATTTAATCTAGATATTTTTTCATATTTTTAAACTTCACTTATCTATCAATTTTACTAAAGCGCCATAAAATAATTCAAAAAGTCTGAACAGATTACTGATTTCTCACAAATTTAGGATTCATTGTTGTTGTAGTTGTAGTTAATTCACGTCGCACTAGAGCTGCACAATGGGCTATTGGCGACGGTCTGGGAAACATCCCTGAGGAAGATCCGAAGACATGCCATCACAATTTTGATCCTCTGCAGAGAGGATGGCGCCCCTGCTTCGGTAGCCCGACGACCTGCACGCGAAATCGAGCACTTTACGATAGAACAGTTTAACGAGGACCAATACCGCACACCCTCGGTCCCTACGCAGACTTATCCAAGTGGTCACCCACCCGCACACTGACCGCAGCCAGTGATGCTTGACTTCGGTGATCTACTGGGAACCGTGTCTTAACGATCAGTCCACTGAGGGACAAATTTAGGATTCAATTTTAACTTATATTAAAGAAATGTTCTGATTGGGCATGTAAGAGTAAGGAATACTTCATCAATCAACTTAGTTTTCTAGATCTGTTGGTTACCAACTGTTATTGTGAAAACTAATGTTATTTACCAAATATGTTGCAGGTTTTGGTTATAAGAAAGTTTTAAAAAAATCTAATATTATAATGATTTTTCATGAAATGTAGGTTCCATTACAAGTATTTCTGATTTAAAAAAAAGTTTTTAAAATTTGCCTTAATTTTTTTTGAAAATTTGAATCACAGATTTAAAAAAAAAACTATCTGTTATATTCCTCGCTTAACCGAATATTCAATTCCTGAAATAGCAGACAATCAACAACTAAAATTTAAATAAAAATTCAATTAAAATTTTAGGCTTTAAGGAATTTCACACAAAGAATAAAAGTAAAATGTATAGTACAGTCTAGAAAAAGTAAGACTTACTGGCTCGGCTCAATATCTTCTTCACTTTACAGACCTCCCGATCCTGACCGGGAGGACTATTTCTTTTTTGGTGAGTGGAACAACCCTTTCTTGGCCAATAGTTTCTTTCTTTCCATCACCTATCAGCCAAGAAATCCCGAAGATGTCCATCAACGAATCATCGTCAAACTCCACAACATCATATTGAAACATCTATTTATATATAAAACAAATTTCGTATTATCTATATCTTTTGCATATCTGTTTTATTTTGAGTGCACTAAATAACCTTCTTGGAACTTAATTATGTAAAAGCAACTAGAATTTATTAAATATAGGGTATGGTAGAGCCTAACAATTGCTTACTTCAATCTTTTTAGCAAGCTAAATTTCTATCTTTTTCTTGGTACTATATGCAGGGTATCTGCTACATTTTAGATTTTCAAATTCATGACTAATTCCAAGAATTTTTCATGACTTAACGAAGAAACTATTTTCTCCGACAAAAACACAACAATAAATTTAAAAAAGCTTTATAATAAAATTCATTGAAATGATAGATATAATCAAAAATGTTATACTCTGCAGCTTCATATTTATAGATTTTAAATTCAAAAAACAGAGTAAAGAAAGAGTTGAAGCAATAAAATAGATAAAAATAAATACAAAAGAAAATTATTTTTTTCTGCAGAATTACATTCTAAAGATACTTTTCTTGTTCATCGGAAAGGAAAGAAATACTCCTGATTTTCTCATTTCGAAATAAAAAAATTCGCCAATGACTGACTTGCTTTAGCTAAAATTTTAAATTGATAAAATAAAAAAAATTTTAAAAAAAATTTTGAAATCACAGAAGCTTAAGAGATAATTCGCTCTAGAAATGATGTCTTTTTTTTTTCATTTTTCGAAAGAGCACCGTAATTTTTAAAGAACACGATGGAAACATTTTATATTTTAATCAAATATGACTGTGAGTAGGGATTTTGTTTCAAATTCAGATATTCGGAACACTATGAAATTGGAGGGAGAGGGGTAAATTCCATTTTTTTCACGCCCCAAATTAATGACTTTCCAATGAGAGAAAATTTTATTATTGATGATTAGACATTACACATGATTGGACAAATACTATCATATGTATATCACACATCATACTTTTGCCCTTACTCAAAACTTAACTTAAATACCTTTTTTAGCTTAATATTTAACAATGTTATTACATATCAGCAATTAATTGTAAATTATATAATTAATCATTTTATTCATATCTGGAGGGAATTAATTTTACCGAAACTTCATGTTTTCCAAATTAAGTACTCAATATACTGTTAAAAATTATTCTTAAGAGATTAAAAATTCTACCATATTGCCAATATACTGTTAAAAAATCTGCTTTTAGCTGCATTTATATTGCACTAAATATGATTTAAAAGATAAGAAAGTAAGATAAGTAAAAAAGATAAGTTTACATAAGAAGATAAGTAAGAGACAAGGATTTCACTTGATGGAACAGATGATGGAATAACTCATATGTTTTCAATGGTATGTTAACGTGCCTCTCAGAGAACCAGCATCTCAAAGAATTATTGAGAAGTGTTGTCCCCAATTATTCACCGAATTTTTAAGAATTATCAAGAGAAGTTAAATAAATGTGTTTAATTTTTAAATTCAATGCACATATTTTGTACTTTTATTTATATGTTTTCAATAAATATAATTTCAGTAAAAAAAAATTCAAACCATTTTTGCTTAGCTTAATCGGAATATGCTTTAAATTCGATCATGTTTTGTCCTAAATGAAGTTTTAACATTAGTTAATAAAAAAGTACAACTGGTTAGAACATTAGATAAATTAAAAACAGAAGGAAATAAGAAAGGAAACATTATTCGAAAACTAGAAAAATTAACCCATAAAAATACGAAAATTTATAAGTGTCAAAAGAAACTAAAAATTATTTTAATCAAGAAATTTAATCATTTTAAAATATAAAAAGCAGCCATTAAAAATATTTAATGTCACAGGAACAAGGCAATAGTGAAAGCGAAAATAGCTCAATTATAAGTATTAAGAATTTAATTTATATAAATACACATTTTGAGAATTATATAGTGTATGAATTATATAAATTTGTTTTGTTCTATTCCAAAAATTACTACACAGTTCTATCTACAAGTTTTCACTTACAGTTTCAAACCTTGAGCATTGTTAAATTTCTCAGAAAGGTTTTATTTTTAACTTGTCTGTTTCATTCCTAATTCAATCAATTCTTATAATAATGATGTGCTTTCCTCTCTTTCCACTTGGACTTACATTTTTAAAATTTTTTTTTGTTGTTGTTTAATGTGTCTTTTTTAAAATTTTCTTAACACTCCATCGGGCGCGTTGATCTGACAGATACAGACGTGTCAATATCTCTGCTTTTGTCCCCTGAAACATTTTCTTACGACCTTGACCTTATCAGTATCTGTCCATCTGGCCCCCTGCTACTTTGGAATGCAGTAGTGACCAGTTCGGTGTAGGAGTATTTCCTGTTTCCAAGCTTGTTTGGAATTTTGTATCTGTTAGATACACGCGCCCGATAACGTTTGTCTCGTGAAGCTACATGGAAGTATTGAGATTCCCTGAGCGTTTTTGATTTATCTTTTTCCTACGATGAGTGCTAAACGCTTTTTAGATTTGAAAAATCAGAAAGACCTAGAGCTAGTTCATAGTATTCTATTTAGTGATGGAAATGAGGAATTAAATGCTGAAGAATTTGATGAAAGTGATGCTGACGAAGAAGATATTTTAGAAACACGTGAAGTTGATTGTCATGGCAGTAAAAGTGTTTATAATGACTCAGAACTCGATGATGATGTTAATAATGATGATTTTTATGTAGGAAAGGACAATAATACTTAAATGGGCAAAACAGATCGGAAGAAAAAATTTGACTTAAATTTAGAATCGGATTCAATTATAATAATTGATTTGTCACTTTTATATTATGTATTATTTGTGCATAACTGTCCTTTTTATACTTTTTCAACAGTTTAACATGTTTAATTAAATGTTTTTTACAGCATTTAACTTTTGTAATAGCGTTTGTGATTAATAAATAAAAATTATTATTGAAAATATTAAAAAATATATAAAAATTAAATAAAAATTAAAAATATACATAAAAAACTAATAAAAGGTCCGGGTGTAAAAGCCTGGACCTAAAAAGAGTAAAAATAGGAGATTTAAAGTAATACATATTAACAGAAAACACACAAAACAGAGATGTATCTGACAGATACATCGCGCCCGATGCCGTAAGTTTCGAGACGCGCCCGACGGAGTGTTAAGAACCACAGTTTTTTAAATATACATTTTATTACTATTCTTTTTCTCTTAGTTTTGTGTCTGATAATTTACCGATAAGTTCGGTTTTAGCTAGAAAAAAGTAACTGTGATTTTAAAACTATCTGTGCAACATTTTTATATTTTATATATAGCTTTGATAAAAGCTTATATCGACCATTAAATTAAAATAAATGTGACAGTCTTGTAACTAGAAATAAGCACTCTTGGTTATTAAGCATAATTGGAGAAGCTGAAGAATTATATTGAGTATCATTAGAATGATCAAAATAAAATTTATTAAAACACTATAGATGTGAAAGTGATTTAAATTCCACATGGATAAAGGAAAGAACATTGAGAGGAAAAAATAAATAAATTTAAGATCACTATCTTAGACCTTAAAATAAAAACCACGTGAGTTATCTCAATCATAATTTTAATAGTTCTAAATCTTAAATTTAAAAGAAAATAATATGATTGAGTTGTTACCGCATGGATTAAAAGAAATAACCACTATTCTCAGCATAAATTTTAAACTGAAAAATACATCGAACATTAATGGTAAAAATATACTGCAATAATTTCAAAAACTTTTGAGATTCGTGGAATAAAATTTATTACAACACCAAGGTGTAAAAGTGATTAAAATTCCCCATGGGTAAAAGAAAGAACACTGATAGAGAAAAAAAATCAGTTAATTTAAGATCACTATCTTAATAGTTTAAAACCTTAAAATAAAAACCACGTGGGTTATTACAATCATAATTTTAATAGTTTTAAATTTAAAAAATGCATATATCATATGATTAAGTTGTTACCACATGGATTAAAAGAAATATCCATGAAAGAACACTGAGAGGAAAAAAATGAGTTAATTTAAGATCACTATCTTAATACAATAAAATTAACAGTACTGTAACAGTAGCTGCTGTTAGACTAAAATTTTTTTAAAATAAAAACCCTATCAACTTAATTTTATAATTCAGATTGAATAATTAAACCTAATATTAAATAATAATGAAATCCAATATTTATAAAATTTCCACTTACCAAAATTTATTAACAGCTACACGTGCAGCAAAAATGGAGAAAACAACTTTTGTAGCTATCTCACACGAAATAAATGAATGAATAAAGTTTTCATAGTACTACCAATGCGCATGCGCTATACAAAACTGGTTTGGTTTATAGTTATCTTCCAGTGCAAGAAGCCCTCAGTACTGTATTACAAGGTACTCTGTCAGGATTTAGAATGCGCATGAAATAGTTTATACTTCATCCATCAAAACGCATTTTTCTTGTTTGACAATCTATACTAGGACTTGTAGGTCATTTAACTGGTTCAAAGGTCATTCAATGTTTCTGTTCTGGTCTGCCTTTCAAACGGGTGTGGATTTCGTTCATAGAGTCAACAATAGTTGACAAACTTGCGCCACTTACCCTAACATAATAATAACTAAATATAAATTATTGTTAAAAAAGTATGTTACACTCAATTTATATGTTTAATGAATGCAAACAGAATATATTAGAATGCCAAATAAATCAAGGAAAAAAAGAAAGGTATATTCAAAATTTGCACTTCAACTAGGTGCTTTCTCAATGTCCTAAAGAGAAATCTATATCTTTAGCTAGATTTCCAAGAAAATTTCGATACAATCCAAATTCTTCAAAATACAATTGATTTATGGCACAATTTATGAAAATAACAACATGAAGTCAAAATTTATGCTTTTGCATAAATTTTGGCTTTATGTTGATATTTTTAAATTGAGAGTAAAATACATACATTAAATTTATTAAGAAACCGAAGTTTACTTACTAAAGATTTTAACTGATAAATGCTAGAATATTTACTTTTTAATACCCATATTTATGGCTGTGGCTTAACAAATAAATAATTAATCAAAACAAATTAACAAATAAAATTTTAATTAATGTAAATATTATTAAATGTAAATATTTTTAATAATTTTTCGTCTTCTATTTGAAAAAAAAATTTTTTTTCGTTGACTTATTTTATAGGTTCTATGTTCTTGCAGCTTATATGCGCAATGAATAAAACTTATTATATTTTTATATTATTTCATTTTCATAATTGTTTTCGCTAATCTCTCTTTTCTTTTATTCCCTTTACCAGCGGGTGACCGAGCTCCGCTCGGAGAAAACAGGTATCGAAGCTAACTCGAAGATTTAAATTTTCAATTGTGATTTATCAAAACAATACATGCCATAAGAAAATTTGTGAAACCATTGGTGAAAAGATAACCGGTTAAAGTGCACCATTGTAAACTATCTAAACANAAAAATATGTACTGACTGTAATAACAATCAAAAAGTTTACTCAGTCCGATTAACTAAAGACAAATTTTATTTTCAACATTGAAAGTTCATTGTTAGTTGCTCTAGCCTACACCCTTGAGTGACATTAATTTCTAACCTTCCTTTTTGTCGTAACATTTAAAGGTTAACGAACATCTTATTCAACAAAAAAACAATTAATCAAAGCCATCGTTCCGTTTTCAAAAAGAGTAAGCCCTCAAAGCGAGATATTGCGAATCATATCATAGATAGGTATTGCAATTTTGATTTTTATTGCCTTCAAAGAACGTATTTCTAATTTGCATTTAGAGAAAGGAGGTTTCGAGGTGCAGCCTTTGGGTCAAAGATCCGCTCACCAAGTGATAAACACTGATTCTTCATTGTCTAACCTCAGACCTACTTAACCCTCATAAACATCTCATCTTAACTCTTTCCTCCAATTTTCTTTACTAAGCAAGCTTCAAGCTAAACAAATGCACTTTTTCTGGAAGATATTTATCGCGATGATAAGAGATTTCCAAATAATTGCGACACTGAATGCTTTGACCCCGTCTATGCAAGACAAAGAAATAATGTCACATCTTTTAAAATATAGAGCAGAAATCTTGTACTAATGTTATGTAATTTACTTCAAATACTTTGTTAAAAATTTATGACACCGCTTAAGTATTCTATCCGTTGGCAACACGTGAATAGTTCTTCGTTTATTGGCAAACTAAAAGGCAGATGTTTGGATGTTTCAAAAGGTAGTGATTAAATCGGAAACTTATTGCCTAAAGCTTATTTATAAAACAATATTCTCTAAGTATATATTTACTTCACTAACAGGCTTGATATATGGAACTAATACTTTATAAAAACAGTCCGAATAAAATTGAAGAACATTGTAAATTCTAACTGAATACTACGAAAAGAATTGGTTGAAGGTTATACCCAAAAGAGTAGTCTGGGTAAAGTAGCATTACAGAATTTTGTGATTGATTTATATGATTTAAACATATGGATCCGGTTTATTTAAATATCAGGAAACAACTTAAAAAACCTGGTAGTAAGTTTTTGTATATATATATATATATGCAGTGTTTTTATGATCAGTTTTTCCAAACTTCACATGAGTGAAAATTGTATTATCATCTTTCTTAACTCAATTCCAATAGGCAGTTTTTTGTTTGAAAAATAATTCATTTTCTTTCATCAGCTGGTTCCTTTTAACGAATAAATTTAGCTACCGCTAGACGTCCTTCATTAGGTGCATTACTTTCGGAATGAACTTCTATCATCTCCTCAAATTCTTTTTTAATGTGACTCATGTGTTTCGTTTTATGTAAGAGAATATTGTCCAATTTCAATACACAGTCGATTTTTTTAAATAATTGATTTTCTTTCGACTACTGATTCCTTATAACGAATAAATTCTGCTTTCGGTGTAACACTTTCGTAATAAACTTCTATCATCACCGATAATTCCTTCTAATGTGACCCGTTTTTCGTTTCAGACGAGAAAAAACTGTATTATGTTTTTAGACCAACTTCAAAAAGCTGTTTTTATTTTTAAAAATAATTTTTTTTCCTTCAACTACTGGTTACTTATAACGAATAAATTTTGCTACCACTAGAATTTTTCATTAGGTGTATTACTTTCTTAACAAACTTCTATCGCCACCGAAAATTCCATCTAATGTGAGCTATATTTTTCATTTTATATGTGAGCAAATTGTAATATTTTCTTTTTTCAGTCAATTCAATACGCATTTTTTTCTTCTAATAATTCATTTTCTTTCACCTGCTGATTCCTTTCAACGAATAAATTCTGCATTAAGTGTATCGCTTTCGTATCACTAGAAGTCTTGCATTACTTTCGTAATAAACTTCTATTATCACCACAAATTCCTCCTAATATGACCCATGTTTTTAATTTTAGATGAGAGAAAATTGTATTACTTTTTTTTTTCCTCGTTACATATGCAGTTACTTTTTTAAAAATAATATTTTTTTCCCCGGCTGAATGCTTCTAGCAAACAGTGAAAGGAAAGTATATTTGCATGATGAATAAAAATAATGGGAAATCATCCGACTTATTTGCGAGGAATTGCAGTCTCTTGATCTTGTTATCTTTTTATTGGAACAAATGTACGCATTTCAAATTATGAGCTATAAACGCCTAATCGTGACCGTACTCATTTGAATATTATGTACAGAAAATTAATACAATACACTTTCCTCTTATGCAATACCCCTTTTGGATACGAAATAAAAATCTTTCACTGTAGTAGAAAAGTGCTGTTTATAACACGCCATGGAGAACATCACGCCATAAGGAAACAAATCTTGTATTTTGCAATAAAAACTTTTGTTAGTATGCATTTCAGAAAAAGTATTTAACTGTACTTCTCTGCTGTGAGACATTGTTTCAGCTAGTAAGGAAATAGCTCCATTGCAGAATGATTTCCATAAACACGAATTTTATTTACTTTCACAATCATGTTTTTGTTAAAAATTTTAGTTATTTATCTTTCTTTTTTTAACTGGAAACAAAATTTGTGTTTACGAGATCGGTCCAAAAATCAATGTCAATAGTCCCAATAGCAAAAGCCCTTCAGCATGAAAGTGGGTTCTGAAGGTTATTACGCCTGACAGATTATTTTTCAATGGAGTTTTATTTATTTTTCTATTATTAAATAACAAAGAAATAAACGGAAAACCGCCCAGAATACTTTTCAATACATCTCTAAATTTGTTTCTAATTTTTTAAAAAAAATATGTGAATTGCGAGAACCTAACAAGTAAAGATTTTTTTTTCCTGTTATTTTATTACAGGCCTAGCTGTATAAGGATTTATTGTAAGTACCGTCGTATAAAATTCAACAACAAATCTAAACATCATATGAGTAGTTTTATGAATAGAATCATATCATATGAATAGAATATCATTCTAACAAATTTTGTTACATGTATGTCAGATTAAGCTGTTTTTTTTTTTTTTTTTGCAATAATAATTTCTGTCCGACTAAGTGAAGGTTGCAGACAGATTTGGATTTTAACAGATATTGTTTACAGTATTTCTTCGTTACGTTTACTTCTTCTTCTTTGTCAGCGCTACAGCCTCTTGCAGGCCTTGGCTGCCTCAACAGCTGACAAACACCAGCGCCTCCTATCCATGGCAACTCCTTTACAATTTCTAATCATTAGGGTTATATTAAAAAAAAAAAAAGAAATACCTGTGACGAGATTAGCTATTTTATATTGTACTGTTATTGTCGATGTCAATCATTTGAGTCTGTAATGTAACGCTGCTAGTCAATCAATGTAAAATCACTTATTAACATCTGATATGATAGTTTTAACAGTAGTCTATTCTAGATCTAGCTCAAAGTAGACACAAAACTTTTCTCTCAATCATCTTTAATCCGGATAGACACTAACTGCAGCACTCTGTGACTATCTCAAGCAGCAAGCTAAACAATATGGACCTAATTAGGTTAAATAACTAAAACACCAACATAGGGAACGCAATCAATTAGCGCTAACATAAGATTCTAATCTTGTTCTAAGGCAGCAAGCCAAATTAGATAAGTTTTTTTTCTCATGATACTAATTTTTCAAATTCAATAGTTTACAGGCGATGAACAACATCATGATGGAACCACTAGAAGATCTTGGTAAATACCAAACCCATTATCTAACCAACGTAACGATGGTTGGACGGTTAACATCCAATTGTGACAAATGATTTCCATTTACTGACATAATCAACCATATAATCAACTAATACTCCCCTTGTAGCAGGTCCACAGGTGCGGTGCAACAATAATTCTGATAAATTATCGCTACTAGGCCGGGATAGCCAGGTCGGTGGGGCGCTGGGCTCATGTCCAGGAGTTCATGGATAGGGCGCTGGGCCCATGTCCGAGAGTTTGTGGGTTCGAACCCCGCCGGCCGAAGACTCCACGTGTAGTAAAGTGACTGATGCACGTTAAATCTGTCGAGTCACAAAAGTCCTCCATGTTCCCATAACAAATCAACACCTCTGGGGATACTGGATTTGAGATTGATTTTTCTCTGATCCAGGTCAAAATTACGATCTGTGGATGAATGAATGGGTCCACCCTATAAAACGGGTGTGACGTTTGGTGTGGCAGAAGTCGTATTCTTGGCTATAGATGGCGCCACTGAAAACAAGAAACGCACACTCTGCCTTAAATTTGCTCGGTTTCACCAAGCAGGCTTGCCCGTGTGGCAAGTGGCATTAGAATCAACCAAACTTTTTTGGTTCTTTATGTGTATCATATGTTACTGTGATTCACCAAGTTGAGCAAAAGAACATTCTCCCTCTCCGTGTTCTACTACACCAGTGTTTCCGAAAGTGTTGTACACGTACTCCCAGGGGTACGGGAACAGTTTAGCGGGGGTACGCGTTTTCATATAAAATATCTTGCAACAAACGAAAATTTCAAAAAATTTTATTTAAAAACAAAGTTAGCTATGAAAATTTACGATTACGTATTTTTCGATTGGCTATTTTTTGCTGAGTTAACATTTAATAATTAGTGGTGTCAACAGCTAGCTGTGATTTTTAACTTTTGTGCAATTTTTTTTTATTACAGCAGCTGTTATCACAGCAAAAACAATATCATCCTTCTCACTGATAAAAATAAACTTTTTAACAAAACTTTGTACCAAAAAAGAAAAATAAACATATTTTTAATAAAATACATTCATTTTTTTTATTAGTGGTACACAAAAGTCATAAGTTTGGGAAACACTGCACTACACCAAGAACTATCCTCGTTTTAGTGTAGGGGAACACTTGGATAAACACTATTTTAGTATAAGGTAGTTGCTACCATTTTTTAGTGTTCGGATACACGAAATTTTTTTACAGTTTGTGTGAATTTAAAACAAATGGTGTTTTCGGTTACCGTTTCGGAAATTGTGGTCCCGTTCAATCAAAATACTTTTGTCCGCTTGTTTCTTTTTCTGTTCTTGTACATAATAATAATAATAGAAAAATTCTTTAATACTTTTCAAATTAGCTCTAAAGAAACTATTTTATCTCAATTTCATGATGAGGTGTCCAACTTTGTGCGATATCGACAAATTGGAAACAAAGTCAGTGCCATAAAACTGTTATTACTGGGTCCATTTGAATATTATTATGGTCAGAAAACAATAAAATTATAATAAAATTAGAACATTTTAAGCCAATAATAATGACATCATAAGTTACTAATAACACAAAGTTAGCCATATTAATTCATAATCTCCCTTAAAATGAAAAATAATCTCCCTTGAAATGCGCAATAATCTCCCTTAAAATGCGCAATAATCTCTCTTAAAATGCGCAATTATCTCCCTTAAAATGCGCACGAACATCTAATTCATAAAAAGGAACCCCGAGCTACATACTGTAACATTTCCGGTCTTAGGCAGCTTAGCAACTCTCGATCCTTATAGTGTAGAAAGATGGTTGTCCCAGTAAAGAAAAGCGCAGATGACACCAGGGCTAAAGAGAATAGAAGGGCTGGTTCACTCCTTTGAAGTATCTTTCGCCGCGCCGATCCTCCGACGTCACTCTAGTGACGTCACTTTGGCGCAAAGCTCGCACTTTTACTTCAAGAACGGAGCGTTTGGCCTTACTAGCTCTAACTAATATTGGATCATTTCTTTTTGCGAGATATTCTAAGACATTTGTTATTTTCTATAATGACTTTCCTCAGTTTTTGCAGTGAATTTACAAGAATTTAAAACTATTATCGAAATGCCAGTTTGCGCGATTGCAACTTGCAAAAATTCTGATATAAAAACAAAAGGAAAAAGTATAATTTTTCGCGTGTTCCCTAAAGTAAATGAACAACTATGTAAAGAATGGATTCCGAAATGACACAGTTAATATAAAACAGCAATACGTTTATTCTGTCGTAAAGAACTTTTATAAAAATTCATTATCTAAATAGAAACCGCCTCGTTACTTCATAAAGAAAGGCAGGTGAAAAGAATTAAAAAATAGATAAAGTCAAAGAAAATTAAAATGTAAGTAAAAAGTATAAATAAAATATATAGTATATAGTTGAAATTCTCCTAATTTCATAACATATTTTTTAATGTAGTTATTCTAAATATTTATGATTTTTTTTAAAAATTATATTCTCTTCAATTTAAATATCTATAAATTATATCATCGTAAATTTAAATGTCTATAAACAATTGTAAAATTTCTAATGTCATTATGAACCTAAATTATTATTTTGTTTCAGTAATTAGCGTTTAAGGTTGATGTTTCCTAATGATTAAGTATGAACAAATTGCTATTAACGACATATTTTAAAATCAGGGATTCTAAATTTAACTTAACTTATCGTTATAAAAGAATATGTAGATAAAAAAAGTGTCGATATATGCCTTCATTTTTCTTAATAGTTAAAGTTAAAACTGAACTTTTTAAAATAAAGTATTTATCGTGTCATTTTCACCAACTAGCAAAACATTTTTATAAGTTTAAAATGGTATTTTTTTAATATAATAACCAAGAAAGTTTTTTTTGAACTATGTTTATGAACGGAAATAATGTGTTAATTACGTAAAGTTTGAAGGCTAATAACCAGAAAAAGTCTAACTTATTTTTACAAAGAGAAAGATGCAAAGTTATCATAAACCACTTGGATGATACCGAGATCTGTGGACACAGTGACGTCATGAGGAGGGAAATCGTAGCTTCAGCTCTAAGAGAGGAGTGAACTAGCCCTTCTATTCTCTTTAGCCCTGAGATGACACTATGGGTTAGAATATTCCTGACTTCCGGGTTATTACTTCCAACTGAGTTTTACGCCTAAGCTTGAAAAAACGCACCTTCCAATATTAATTGTACTTCTTGTGTTTTCAATTTAAAGCGTTCTTTCAATTTAATATTCAACGTAATAAACAACAAAAGAATTAGGAAGGCTCCGCAAGCTTGCTATGATTCTACACAAGAACTGAAAAACGGAGCTGTTCTACAAAAATACAGCCAAATAAAGGATAACACTCAAAACATGGCTAACCTTAAACTTTATTTATGATGTGTTATTAATTTTGTTAAACTTGTTTTAAGGCCTGTTTAGACGATTCTTGGACAGAGATTGATTGATGCTGATGGAAACTTGTTTTGCTTTGAGCTTGGATCGTGTAAACAGTCATCCAAGAACTTGGTCCGACTTCTTGGACGATAGTAGAGCATGTTCTACTTTCCATCCAAGTTTTTTCTCCCTTAACCAATCAGCGTCTTAGGTATTGTGAAGTCAACAAGCTGGCAGCAAATTATCTCATTTTGTTCCCTGTTTTCATATATTTTAGTCCAAATAAATCGATCTGCTGCGGTTTATTTGTGTTATTATGATTTTATTTGAATTTATTCAGTAATTTTAAACTTACGTAAGTATTATTTTATAATGTTGAATATGAACAATGCGCATGCGCAAGTTTTTCTTTCGACGAATCAGTGACATTCAAGAACTCGGATAGTGTCTACGAATCATCCAATTTCTTGGACAGAGAAATCCCTCCAATTTCTCGGATTCAATAATTTTATAATTTAAAATTATATTATATAAAATTATATTATCTCGGATTATAATTTTTTCGAATCCGAATAATTTATTCCGAATTTCTTCCGATTATAATGCGCTTATTGTTATTGCTACGTGACCACTCTGTATAAAAATGTTTCCTCAATATTTTGTAAGCACGCTTGAGGAAGACCTCTTTGTGTGTTTAAATATGCTTTATTTGATTCATATGGTAATAATTTGCTTATTCAGTATCAGCTGTTTATTTTAATGACAAATAATAATGAGAGGATCCTTTTTAAAAGATGCTTGCCAGCAAGAAGAGCTTTTGGAATCAAATTTGTCAAACACATTGGAGTGGTCTAGATATTGGTGTGGTATTCGTGATGGAAATGTTTTACAGATATAATTTAATTTACTTGCTGGCTTCATCAGTTGCCTATTGCAATGGATTTGACTTTGGAAAAATTCTGAAAAACGCACGTGAGCAGGCGGTTATGGCACTGGGCGATTCTTATGTAGAATGTTTTATCCATCAATATTGCGATTGTGGTAAGAATACAATTTTTTAGAATATTTTCCTTTACTGTTGGGGGAAAAAGACATTCCTAGACGTTCATTTGTCGTCCTCTAATTCATCCTGAACTTTTTCAAAACAAAATATATTAATTGATGAAATTGCAATTATTATTTTTTTTTGCCTAAATTCTACAATTCAATAATCATATAACGTTTTAGCAATCGAAAAATAGTTTAGATTATCTACAATATTATAAATGTCATAGGACATGGGAATGTTATAGTTCATGTTATATATAGAAACTTCGGAAAATGGCTAAAAAACGCTTTCCGTTTGCCTACTCTGCTGGCAAGTACGATACTTATTCATTATTAAAACACCTATCTTGAGAAGGGGGACTTTAATTATGTATTTGTAAGACGTTCAATGTATATTTGAGATTTCACTTCATTATTATTACACAGTATGACATATAACAATATGGCATCGTTATTTGGCGTCGTCCAGTTGATGCCAAAAAGATTATATTTATAAATGAAGAAAAACTGTTACTCTTTGTGCAATTAAATGTTTCTACAAAATTTTCCAATTCAACGTCACCTGTTCCTCCCACCAGCGAGGAAGTTAAATATGAGTGAAGGAATAATTTTTCAAAAGATCTGCCTTACATTAATCAGCTGTTGGATGTATAATACAATCTAAGGAAGGAGACTGCGAGATTTGTCACCGTAAGATCGAAGCTTTTTTTATACATAAATAAATCCTTTAGTGTTGGCATCATAATTCTGTTGTTACATAAAGGTTCGTCTTCTGTTTCTGTTGATTTAAATATCCAGAAAAACTACGTCATCAGAAATATTACTATTAAAAATCAATTCAAAAAGTTTTCGCTGCTACGGTTTTGCAAACGCACTGTACTCATGCTGCAGTTACTGTTTTAACTGTAATTGAATCTGCCACAACTAATGGATTATTTTTTAATATAATTTTAATCACACTTATGGATAATTTGTAGTACCACTGAATTATTTATACTTATATACAATAACAACTGTAAAAAAGAATTTATAAGCATCGTTGTAAAACTGAGTAAAATATTCAACTATTTTCAAAATTTTGGGAAGACTTTTGTGTAACTAAAAAAGCAATTTAATTTTATTTTCCTTTTATGACAATTATATCTGAACCTTAAATTTGAGTTAAAATAAGTTTTTTTTTTCGCAGCAGTGTGCTCCTTTTGAGTTGGCTGGTGAGCATTTTGTGACCTAAGTCTTGGAGGTGAGCAACATTACCGACGCCACAGTGCCACAGATACCCATTCATACACATTCACACATCACACACAGCAGAGGACAACCTACAAAGGGAAACGCCCGTGCAATGTGCGAGATACAAACGCAAAGTCATTGGCTTCGCAGTGGCTGTGGCTTTTATTCTGACCGCTCGACGCCCTGGCCGGCTTAATTCATGACTGGAGTTAATTCCCGGGCTAAGCTTAATAATTTATTAAGATTTTTGATTTACTTACAAACTTTTAAGTATGCGTGAAAGCTAGATTCGGTCATAAGATGTGTTTTTAAACACTGAATTCGGATACAAATTTACCACAGTTTTTAGAGTTCTTTTCTTAAAATGTAGTTAAAAAGTATGCACATTAGATACAGCTACTTCATGGTAAAGTTAGAGAGAAAAAAAAACGGTATTAAACTTTGTAGCATTGATATCGAGGAAGAGGAGTTTTGACGAAAAAACATTAAAATTAAATAATGCTTGAAGTCGACTTTTAAATCCCCACCTGACTCTGTTTCATCTGGAAATCAAAAAGGTTATATATATATATATATATATATATATATATATATATATATATATATATATATATATATATATATATATATATATATATATATATATATATATATATATATATATATATATATATATATATATATATATATATATATATATATATATATATATATATATATATATATATATATATATATATATATATATATATATATATATATATATATATATATATATATATATATATATATATATATATATATATATATATATATATATATATATATATATATATATATATATATATATATATATATATATATATATATATATATATATATATATATATATATATATATATATATATATATATATATATATATATATATATATATATATATATATATATATATATATATATATATATATATATATATATATATATATATATATATATATATATATATATATATATATATATATATATATATATATATATATATATATATATATATATATATATATATATATATATATATATATATATATATATATATATATATATATATATATATATATATATATATATATATATATATATATATATATATATATATATATATATATATATATATATATATATATATATATATATATATATATATATATATATATATATATATATATATATATATATATATATATATATATATATATATATATATATATATATATATATATATATATATATATATATATATATATATATATATATATATATATATATATATATATATATATATATATATATATATATATATATATATATATATATATANGGAATAATTCTGACCATATATGGAAAGTTGAGCATCTGCTGATCAGCTCAAATATGACCATCCTAAAACTGATGTTAGCTCATTGTCTATATATTAGAAACTGACATTTTATAACGCGCTTTACATAGCTGAATATTAAATCCAATTATTTCAAGAAGTGCCCAATACGCTTCCCTAATTTGAAATAAATTTAAACATGATTCATTTCTATATTTATTAGCTGAAACTCACTTTTAATAAAATTATATATTTTAGTAAATTTCTTTGACTTTCATCTTACTTTTATAGAACTATCTGACGAGGAATTAAAGTGTTTTGACTATTTGCATAAGGATGTAAGTATTGTGACTCCTAATATTTAACTTCCTTTTTCTTTTGAAAATTATAACGGTTGTTTCATCAGATTCTCACTTAATTTATATTTTTGAAACGGTTGTCAAAAATAAAATTTAAAAAAAAATATGCGCATGGGGTGGTAATGAACTGATATAAGCTAAGAAAAACGAAAACTAAATAAAAACGTAAACAGGGAATGTGGAGCTGTGTATGGAAACCTTGCTGGTTGATTTGCTGAAACCTTGATTGCTGGAGTAAGTTATTTACGAACGAAATGTTGTAAATGAATATCGCCCTCACCAAACCCTGATTCATAGTTTCATCAATAAATGATTTAGGTAAATAGTTATCATTATAAGTGCTTTCAATGTAAATTTATTTTCTGGTTTCACAATTTCGTTTTAATTATTTTCTTCATAGAGGTATAAATATTTCAGACATATCACGCTTATAGAGTATGGTGGAATGCTGAGTGTGAATATAATGATGGATATGTTTTCCCGGAATGGAAAAATGGTTCTTTATCTTCTGATATATTACTACCCTTGGTCTGCAACAACAGAGACCTGACGGTAAGAAATTTTCAGAAAATGTATGAAAAATTTTCATTCATCATTGTTTCAATCATTTTAAATGATTGAAATCAGTAATATCTCAATTCAGCATGGCAAGAGATTTTTTTTAAAAAAAAATGAAAACAAAGATGCCCTTCGGTGATAAGGTTAGTCACGATGGGATAATTCAATCTAGAGGAGTTTCATTGTCGCTAAAGATTCAGCTTCAGCCGGAATAGTCAACTATAAAAATTCTCATTACGAATGTGTAGCCTAGGTGAACCAATTAAGAAATAGGCATAGCGCAAATGCAGTTTTAAATGATCGAAATCAGTAATATCTCAATTCTGCACGACAAGAGATTTTTTTTAAAAAAATTTAAGTTGCCCTTCGATGATAAGGTTAGTCACGATGGGATAAATTGTACAACATTAACCAGGGTTTATAATTGTTTAAATAATCAAAGACCAATGTCTAATAGGTGACAGTACTTCTCATTCAAACAAGATGCAAAAGCAAGAGAAATCATAGGAAATTAGAAAATATGTTATGAACCATTTTAGTATAGTTCAATTATCAAATATATAAAATTGTTTTACAGGAGAAATTTGTCTTCATATACGACGTGTGTTGCACTTGCAGTCTTTGGAAAAAATCGGCCATTTTTATCTTACTTAAGTTCTAATCAAATGAAAAATGGAACAAAAAATATTAAGTATATCATTGTTATGATTGTAGAAAAATGTAGAATATTAGTTACAGTGAATAAATAAACCAAGCAGAAGGCCTTAAACTAGAATAAAATAAAGAAAAATAAGGTTTAGAATCCATCTTGGAACGCAGTTGTTGCTGCAACAAAAATGTAACGGGCTTTCCATTCGCAAGGTGACAGCAAATTTCGTTAAAAGAATAATAACCGAACAGCTATCAGCCTATTAATTTCGTTTTTGAAATTGAGGTGAAATTTAGAGATAAATCACCAGACTTCTTTATATAGATTTTTTAGTGTCAATAATAAGTGATTCTTTTTAACGAAAAGAAGTCTTGAAAGGCTGACCTAAACGTTACTGTTTACGTGAACCCAATTTGGATTTCTCAAAACAACTATAGACTAAATGCATAAATTCAAATGTGAAGTCTTCAACAATCCACCCTATAGTACAGATCTGTTCCTGTATGACTTCCACATATCCGATGAGGGCTTAAAAAGGGGTGACCAGTTTTAAACATAAGATGAAATAAAATGTCCTCCACTCCAAACAACAGAAAATTGCTTTTTTTTACTACCTTTGACATGCATTGTGTTGCTAGTGTAGCGACGGAACAAGTATCTAAATCATGCAAGTGATGATAGTACTTTTCAGTCTCTTGTGAAGAAATTGTTTGAAATAGAGTTAAGAAATACATTGTTATATTGTGATATTGATATTTTTAAGCGTCGGTAAAACAATATATTTAAATAGTGTTTTCACGATATATTGAAAACATCCAATATAACGTGTTAATAGTTAATTGATAAATAGTTATATGCATGGTATTTATTGTTAACGAAAGTTTTCTGGAAATTATCGTCAAAGAAAACTTTTGAAAGTTGTCATCTTTATTTAAAAAAAAAAAAAATTTTTTTTTGAGTTTGTGATCAAAGGAGCAAAAGTGCCCAGAGCAAGTCTTGGAGTTTGAGACATTGACAGTCCAGTGGACTCAACGGCATATCAAGCATGTTTGGGCAAGGTTCTCCAAGTGATGTTTATATTAATCAAAAACAGGGAATGACCTTGACTCAAACCTTGATGCTCCACTTCCCAACTCACTGTGCTCGCTCTCCCACAAAAGCTCTTTAGCAATTTCTTATGGATTGCTCGGCAACTTTAGCTCGAATCCCTCTCTCATTCTATTCTGAAAAGTTTTAATCTTGCTTTGCATTCTTTTTAAAGATGAACGGTGGTCACTTTTATTAACATTGATTTACGAAAAATATGCATGCATAGTCATCTTATATGTTTTTGATGGACCAAACCGGCATTTGCGTTACATGGAAAGGAAGTCCACGAGAACCACCCACGGTTAGCCTGACGGCAAGGGGACTCTGATCTATAATCCGTCTACCACTGAGGATATTTTACGTCAGCACTGTGGTCGGTGCAAGCCAGATGCGGAATTCGTATCGACTGGGATTCGAACCCGGTTCGCCGCATTGGAAGGCGAACGCTCTATCCTCTGAGACATCGCTGTTCAGAGTTTAAATTTTGGAATAATTCTGACCATATATGGAAAGTTGAGCATCTGCTGATCAGCTCAAATATGACCATCCTAAAACTGATGTTAGCTCATTGTCTGACTCTATGGAAACCCTTACCAGCGTTTTTCCCTTCTCACTGAATTCATGTATGATGGAAGACGTGTTTTACCTGTACTCAACTGTATTGAGTGCATAATATGCTTTATCTGATGATGTCAGTATTTTTCTCCATATTTTTTTTGAAATAGTAGATGATTGACCCTCTACTCGTTTGTATTGAATATAAAATATGCTTTATCTGATGATATCAGCATTTTCTTCCTATTTTTAATTTTTTTTAAATTATTGACCCCTTACTCATCTGTATGATATGCAAAATATGCTTTATCTGATAATACTTAATTTCATTATTTTCTTCTATTTTTTTAAAAAAATATTATAAACTATTTCTGGAACTGTGTTTAGATAACACAATGAAGGAAGTTGTTCAACCTTTTTCAAAAATGAGCAAAGATATACCGTTATCAAACTTGGGTATGCACCTTGTTTTCGGAACTGACTTTTCAGCCATATTATCTGATTTTTCCTATTTTCTTTTAGCTTCTAGTTTGATTCTATTTTTTTCTCTTACCATAGCATCAGTTTCCTGCAGGTTTTTAAAGAATAATAAAGACTTTTTCCTACTTATGTCCTAGACATTTTTCGCAGCAGAACAGTGCAAATTTTTTTATTTTGAGTTAACCTTATACCTAGTTATAATCACGTCATTATAGTAAAAAAATGGTAATTAGGACGACACACTCTTAGATAATAATATTTATTTAAAATATTAATAATAATAAAATATGAAATTAAGCATCCGGGGCTTCGTTATAAACCAATTAACCATTACCTTTATGAAACTGGTCAAAACTACCTCATGGTCATAATTACCCAAATTGACCCTAATTCATTAATGATTAAGATGAAAAACCCTTAGTCAACAAAACAGCTTTGAACCATTAAATTTACGGAGAAAATTCAGAAGAAAATAGTATTTTTTCTCATGCTCATAGAACTTTTGCCGCAGATGGATAGCCAATAAATTGTTAATTAAGCATTATTTTCATGTTTTGAAACTTTTTTTTTATTTTTCTATGGCGTAGAAGAAATGCATTTTGAAAACAGTCAATCCAATTATTGATTATAATGTAAGTATTTTCCTCTTAAATAAATTAAAATATTTGCTTAAAAATAAAATTTTGTAACCATAATTAATTTATAGAGCAAGCTAGGAAGAGAAAAAAATGTTCCAAGCCGTAAGGATGAGTTTGATGCTATGGAAAAACATCGGGTGAGTTGAAATATGTGCTATTTTCTTAACGAAACACAATGTCTTAGCATGTTTCTAAAAGTCTTAAACAGAAATACCACTGTGGAGGAATACATACTTCTCAACATTTTAAGGAATGTAATTTTTTATTTGGAAAAATACAAAACTTGAATGAAATCGGTCATCTAATTCCAGAGAAGTAGAGTTTTGAAGAAGCTGTATACGTATTTAGCGAGTAAAAGTATGATCTATTTTCTATTCGTGGAACTCCGACCTATTTATAAGAAATAATCTATTGCAATTTTGTCCATTATCTTTTGACATATAAGGGCAATTATTTATTACGTTAGCAATTATGATCATATATGAAAAAATATATAACTTACTTCTAAAGTAATTGATGCAAAGAATAAAAAGAAAATCATAAATAATAGTCTTAAAATTAGGTTTTATGTTTGACTATTAAATTCAAAAAAATGGAGTTTCAAGTAGTCTATAGCGTGCGTAAATGCAACTGTTGTAGTTTTTCTGCGTCGCACTAGAGCTGCACAATAGATTACTGGCCCTGGTCTACGAGCCATCCCTGAGGATGATTCGAGGGCACGCTATGGCAATTTCGAATGTTGAAAAATTAATGCTGTTTTTCTTTAGGTTCATGTGGTTTCATACAAGAAACTTTTGCGAGCCCCCCCCCCCAAAAAAAGGAATGGAATTTTGCTGCAAATTAAGCAAAGACAAGGAATTTTTTTTAGAAATTTCAGAAAGAATATGTCCAAGTGATTCTTTGTACTTTTTAGCCTTTGAAAACGTTTCTGAAGTCTACTCCATTTGTAAGAGGATCCTGTTTCTGTTTCAAATTGTAAGTCATATGGATGGAACACTGGTCGCAAACAATAACAAGATTCCAAAACCGAAACGGTATTCAGAAAACCATCGTTATAACCTCCCCATGTAATGCTTACGAGAAAAAGTGTAAACATGCTTGACATTCTGGTAAGTCTTAAAATTGAGATTAGTATTTCAATTTGCATGGAATTTCATGATTCATAAAATTTTTTCGATACTTCAAAAATTCTAAAAGGTTGTTCGATAAATTGATTTAAGGCGATTGACAACTTAACAAAAATGAAATGTAAGGGCAGGGTTACCAATAGCGCTGTCAGCAATCGATGAGTAGAGAGTGATCGCTTTGATCAACCTGCGAAGGAACAGAGGGGGTGTGGTATCAGTGCTATCTAAGCTATTCTACGATGAAGTGATTAACTAAGCATGAAGGGTAGTTGGGTTACCAAAGTAGGGCCCCTTCTGCAGAGAATCGAAATTGCGATGGCATGTCTACGGATCATCCTCGGTCAGGATTCCCATGTTCAGGTTTGATCATAGCCCATTGTGCAGCTCTAGTGAGACGTAAATAAAGTATTACCATTTATTTAGAATTTCAAACGCTAGCACAACCTGTGTTTAGCTTTTTATAATTTCACATCCAGTGACGTCAGCTGCCTGGTTTCAGCCTCGCGAACAAGAACTTGAATCCTCTGTAACGATTTTGTGCGCTGCGTGGAACCACTTACAGGAACCGCTATTTTAGAACACATTTTAAAAAAAACAGCACTATTGAAAAGCTATTAACTTATTTGCATTTTGATGGACATATTTCTTTTAGGTATTTAAATTTAATTCAAGGCAAGATTTTACAAAACTTTTTCCCTTATTTCTAGACTTGTCAAGCGGGAATCATGTCCTCTTGCATGGCATTTCCTTATTATTGCAAAAAGTAAGTGAAAAAAATAAATTAGTTTAAAAAAATTGTATTCCACAATGAATGTTTCTTTTTTAAATTGAAAAAGTTATGAAGCGGAATAAATATTGAGATTTACCTTATGTTTAAGATTAATTTTCATATACTGCTAAATTGCTCAAGAAAAGTGCTACGCCAGAAATGTGACTTTCAAAATCAAGTCTTAGCAAATACTTAAAACATGTAAAAAAAAATTCAAAATTATTGAAATTTTGCGGATTCATCATCCATATTTTTACACGATAAAGATCTTTAAAATGAATTGTTTAATAGCATTAACTGTCGGTAGAGAAAAATTACTTGCTACAAGATGTTCCTATTGGTCGCAGAATCATTGAGAATTTACTTTATTTAAAAAAAAAGTTCTTTTTTTTCTATCTCTGAAATTCTTTAATCGATCTTGTTTGAACTTCAGATTTTTGTCGTTTAGTTACTCATTGTTTAATAAAAAGCATGTAAACTAGATGAGAAAAATTAATATCAATGACAGTTTTGGTTATCGTCATACACTTATTCACAAAAGGAGGACAAGAATGTAAAATAAAACTAGTTTAATAGTAGCGCATAATAGTCTTTTAATAGTACTTAGAAATGAATTTGTGGCGTAACTACCACTACGAAAATTAAACATCAATTCACTGGTATATAAGACATGCTAACTTGATTCAATCAAGAGGTACCTTTTGATAGATGAAGGTTGGCATGGTCGATAACTCCTCCACCCACAAATTCCTTAAATTTCATCTGAGTGTTTCAAACTTTTCATTTTATTTTATCGTATTTATGCTTGATCCATAAATAAATGTTCATGGAAGTCGATATAGAGCAATTTCCTGGATTCTTTCTTGAAACGTTTTTTCTCCCAATCGGGTGATTCAGGTTCGGATCTCATGGATAGATGGTCGATTCGAATCTTGCTGTCGACTGGAACCGACCCCAGTTCTGATTTTAAAATGTTCTCAGTGACTGATCATGGGTTAGAGTCCCTTTGATAAAGGGGTCTGGATTTGATTCTAAGATCCCAGAAATTATCCTATTCCAATAGGAATGCCTGGAAGGCTTCCTCTCCACGTGTCACAAATGCGGATTTGTTCCATTAAAAAACACTGAACATCGAAGTCAGTAAATCACAAAATCAGCCTAGCGTTCAATGTCTGTTATAAAATAAAATCTTCTTTATGCTAGCCCATTCATTTTCATTACTCTATTGACAGACCATGATATGAATCTGTAAGGAAAGACCTAAGAGATTTTGGAAATCAATTTAAATAATGAAGAAGAGATGGAAATGAGCAAGTTTACAGTGTTTTATTCAAAAACAAACTAATTTTTTTCTTAACAAATCTCAAAATTAGTAACAAATGTTTGCCAATAGTTGACTACAGAAACTAATAGTGTTCTCTGCTTCTCATAAAAACATTTCATGTGAAATATCTGTCTATTAAATTTATATTCAGATTTTACATGCTACAATAAATATCTGATTTCCTAAGCAAAACACAATATTTTTTGTAAATTTTCTGTCATTTTTTTAGACATCGAGTGCAATCTGTTTTGAAATAATGAAATTACAGTGGCTTCTGAATGATGCAATTGGTTTCGATCATTTAATCGATCATAAACCGATTAAAAAATGGTATCTTACTTTTAAAATATTTTTTAAACTTTTTGCGCAATTCCATTAATAAGAAAAACGAAAAAAAAAGAAGAAAAAAAAAGAGTAGACTGATTTCAGTATCTTATGTAAAAAATTTTTATTAATAAATACCATGCTGTATTGTTTAATACTAGAAAAATAAATTACATCTTATTAAGATGGTCTTAACGCTTAATATTCTTTATTATAATTTTCAAGATTCAAGTCCAATCCAAAGTAATTAGTTTTAAATTTAAAAAAAATAATTAAAAAAAATTTATTTTAATAATAGCATTTAATTTATTTTCAGTGATTTGCTCTGATGGATGGAGAGAAAGATGAAAAGACGAATAGAACAAATAGAAAAAAAGATCAGTAAAACAGAATAAATAATATAATTAGCTACTTGATTAAAAAATTGCTGAATTGGAAAAGGAAAGTCCTGAAGTAATAAATATTTTAAACTGCATATTTGTAATTATTTATATTTTGTTTTTCAAAAAATTTATTTACTTGTTTTATAAAATTACAAAAAAAAAAAACTACAGGTAAAAAATCCATTTACAGTGGTGCATACAATGGGAAAAAAAGAACGTCATTGTACCTATAGAACACTTAAAGAGAGTTATTATAATGCATTTAATATTGAAAATATCAGGCATGTTTGTTAGAAATATCACATGAATGCTGAATTATTTTTGTTTCATATAATTACATTTACAAAATGAGCTAACAAAAAATTTTTCATTTCATATATTGTGATGTTTTACAAAAAAACAGAATCATGCATTAAATAGCGAAACAATAAATCATACTATTAGGAATTTTATAGAAAAATAAAAAATGAGATCTCAACGACATTCCAATGATGGAACACCAAAAGTATTTTGCAACTTAAAATGAGAATAACAATGTAGAATATTGCATGACAAAATGTTTAAAATTATTTTGAACTCTTTCGACGCAATGCTTTTTACAATTATAGTAGGGACTTTAAATGATACTGCAAAATTCCGTGAACTAAAAAAAATTTAATCTCAAATTTAACGAAATTTCGAGCGATTTGTCAAATGACGAAATAACTATCGTTTCCTCTTCAAGTCGATATATATATATATATATANTATATATATATATATATATATATTCATTTATTGTAACAGAACTCATTAGATAAGTTCAAAATTAAGATAAGACAAAGGAAAATTATAGACATATGAAAAGAGGGAGGGGGGAATAATAATGAAAAAAAAAAATAACAAACAGCATATTTTGTAATCTGGCAATCTTGTCACGAGAATATTTCTGAATCATTCTTGAAAAATTTCCCGTTCATGTAAGTACATCTGATTTCGCTGCTCGCGTTGGGGATTTCGTTTTATGCAGTTTTTTCGTTTTATTTTATTTTATTTTCTGTTTTTACGTGTTATTTTTACTTAATGTGTTCTATTTTATTTGTTGTAATTTTTGTGAAAAAATTTTTCGGAGTTCTCCTCACACTATTGTAAAGGTAGCCGTCTAAGTAAATAAGGCCAATTTTGATGAAAATTCCGATTGTGAGATTATTTTATTTTAATTTAAAGTGAACTTTTCTGAATCCAGAACAGTTTCACTTTTGTTTCTACGATGCTTAGATCCGGAGTTATTGTGATTTGAATAAAAGCAGACGATCATAGTAACAAACCGGAAGTGGGATTTAGAAACCGAAACTAACTATTTTTCACGTTCTACGTTGTTCCTTTTAGCTTATTTTTATAGAAATATTATCAATTTTCAATTTTTAAATTTGTGCTACTTACACAGCCACATACATCAGTTTTTTTAATTATATTTCTACAAAATACATATGGAATCAAGCGATCAATTGAAATGCACAATCTTCAATATAATGAGTACTATGGTGATGGCGATTGCAAAGCGTTTGAATATGTTAAAGATGTGTATGGGAAAGACTCTGTCACCAAACTCGAATGTGTTGGGCATGTACAGAAGAGGGTGGGCAGTAGATTGCGAAAGTTAAAAAAAACGCACAAAGGTTTAGGCGGTAAAGGTAGGCTTACCGACACCTTTATTGACAAACTCCAGAACTACTATGGAATTGCGATGCGGAGTCAGCACAAAACTGTTCTCGAACTTCAGAGCAATGTGATAGCTGCTCTTTGTCATGTAGCATCAAACAAAAACAATGTTATGCACAATCAGTGTCCAATTGGTACTGATAGCTGGTGTCGCTACCAAAGGTATAAAGCTTCAGGTGAAGACTGTGGAAAAAAACACTGGTATTCCCGATAGTGTACTAAAAATTATTAGACCTGTATACTTAGAACTTTGTGATAAAGCTTTGCTTGAAAAGTGTTTACATGGTCGAACACAGAACAACAACGAAAGCCTAAACAATGTGATATGGCAATTTGATCCAAAGATAACTTTTGTAGAATTGAATACGTTAAAACTAGGTGCATATTTAGCTACCATTCAATTCAACGAAGGCTCCAAAGGAATTTTAGCTGTATTGGAAGCTATGGGTGTAGAATTGGGGAATTGTTTGTTGAAAGGATTTGAATTGGTGGACAAAGAGCGTATTGTCGACGCTCATAGACATTCATTGCCAACAGCAAAATTACGCAGGAAAAAACTAAGGGCTATGAAAAAGAAAAAAGTTCATAAACAAGAAACTGTGGAAGGTGTCTGCTATGAGAAAGGAGGTTTTTAAAAACTGAACTGCTTTTCTTGTATATTCTTTCATTTTTAAAATACTTTGTGAGTGTTTTCGAAAAATCTTTTCTCTTTTATGTCACGTTACGATTCTTGTCATCAGTTGAAATGTAAAATAATTACTTTTATAATATTTTGCAATATTGTTTATTATAATGTATGAAATATAATTGACTAACAACTAAACCAAAACATATTTTGTGATTTCTGCCCTCATATGTATAGTATATATGAAGAGGACATGTATTTTTATTTTTAAATTTATGTTTTCACTATGTAATTTCATAACATATGTAAATACTGAAACATATATTTAGTTTGTAGTTCAGAACATCAATCAGAAGGGTCTCAGCTAATTGTATTAAAAATATGAAAGAGATATATCAATTACTTTTTTCTCCAGACCATTAGTCGTTTCTTCAAAAAATATTTTGAATTGTCGATTTTTAACAAAATTCATAAACAACAACAATAAAACTAAACAGAAAAAATAAGAAGGAAAAAGGAAAGAAATTATGCTAAAAAGGTAAAAAGAAGGTTTTAGCTATAATCCTAGAGAATTCTTAAAACTTTACTGCTTTTTTTATATTTATTTCAGTTGTTTGAAAACTTTAACTGTCGATTCTGAGAAAGTAGTTTTTAGCTCATTTTACCCTATGACTTTTGTGATAATTCGAAATGTAAAAGAGATATCTCTGAAGTATTGGGCACAATTGTTCGCTATGATGTGTAGAGTGTAATGAACTACAAACTTTATAATAGCTATTTTATTTTTTATTTTATGTCCACTTTAAGTGCTGGTAGATAGTAATTTTTGTAACATTTTTATGTAATTTCAATGTATGAAACTATATTATGCGTAATTATTTAAATAATTTTTAGTTTTTAGTTCATGACACTCTTAAAGGTATCAAGTACTTGTAATAAAAAAATAAAAGGGATATGTCAATAACTTTTTTGCGTAGAGCATTAGCCGTTTTCGCATTAAAATCCAAAATTTTTGCTAAAATATTACCATTTTTCCAAAGTTTAAATAAATAATGATTGATTGTCATTGATTTCACTGTTTTTTATCTACAATACACTAAACACAACGTTTAAAATTAGAGTTTTTAATTTTTTTAAAAAAGTCTGTGCCGAACGTAGACGGATACCTTATATTTTGCTTTGGCTATATTGATACAATATCAGAAAGCACTCTTTTTTGCGGATATAATCGTGAGGGCTGATGAAAAGATTATATCTTTTGTTTTCCGGTTTTTTTGAAAAAAAATTCATCCTTTTTTTTCTTCTTTTATTATTTTAAATCCGTTGTTTTGTTTTTTTTTCCATTATTATTACCCCCCCCCCTTTTCGTATGTCAATAATTTTCCTTTGTATGTATATATATATATATATATATATACACTACCGGTCAAAAGTTTGCGAAAATTTTGAAATCTACAAAGAAAAGCTCTAAATTCAAATGTTCATAGAACTGCGAAAAATCATTTAAATTGCATGAAAATTTGATATGTTCTAAAGTGAACCCTCTACAGTTAGTTACATATGATCAAATTGCAATACTTTGTTTTTTTGCGAACTGAATCCAGCTTTTCATCACGGATTGTTTTTATGGTAATAAAATTTGTTAAGTTCGAACACTTTCCAAACTTGCAAAAAAATTTTTTTTGTTCTTTCTGTTAATGTAAAATAGTTATTTGAACCGTTATATGTAAGCCTTCAAAATTTCAGATCGATTCGATTTTTTTTTTGACGAAGTTATAGAATTTTGAAAAACATGTGTACTTTTCTCGATTTTTGAGCATTTCACATATGCAGTCCTTTGCTCTATACATCTTCTACCAAATAAATTTTTAATTTTAATGTTTTCTATATTTTCAAACAATTAATATTTATTATAAAACAAGTACTCTTATTCATTATTGTAATTATTATTGTTTATATTTATTGTTTATATTTATTGCTTATATGTATATTAGTTTTGTTGTGATATCTTTACTTTACATTAAATTAAAATTAAAAGTTATAACAATATATACATAAATAATTCTAAGAAAATAATAACAGTAGTATAAAAAAGTTTCATTTTTACTAAACTATTTTATTTACAACAGGTCAATTATTTAACATATTTTTATTTGTATTTTGTAATTAAATAAATTAACATTTAAATCTTATATTCCTCGAACTATCCACCTTTAGCTTTTATTATAGCCTTACATATGCGTGGCTTTCGTTCTAACAAACCATTAATCACTTCACGTGATAAAGAGTTCCATTCCTGTTGTAAAATTTTCCATAACTGATTTCGATTCGAAATATCAGAGCATCGTTTGCAAGAACAAACAAATTTTCGATGAAATGTGACATCTATGAGATATTGTTTTAATTATATTCACAATAAATTCTTTGTAATAACAATAATTACAATAATGAATAAGAATATTTGTTTTATGATCAATATTAATTATTTGAAAATATAGAAAACATTAAAATTGAAAAGTTCTTTGGTAGAAGATGTATACACCAAAAGACCGCATCTGTGGAATGCTCAAAAATCGAGAAAAGTACACATGTTTTTCAAAATTCTATAACTTCGTCAAAAGAAAATCAAATCGATCTGAAATTTTGAAGGCTTACATATAACGGTTCAAATAACTATTTTACATTAACAGAAAGAACAAAAAAAATTTTTGTGCAAGTTTGGAAAGTGTTCGAA